CTCACAGGGTGAATGGATGGGCTGCCATGAGGTCACAGGATGGAGGAATGATTGGGTCAACTGACAGGTAGGGTTGGGAAGGAAAGTGGGCAATTACCGAGAAAGTGAGGCTGGATGGATAGTTTAGTGGGTTGGTGCGGACAGGATGGGAGAGCAAGGGAAGGAGGGAGAAGCCTAAATGATGGTGTGTGAAGACAGATGGATGGAAGGCTGGGTGGCTATTAGGAGGAGCTGAAGGGAACGTGGGAGGATGGACTGAGTATAAGTTTGGAAGGAGGATGGATGGATGAGTGGATGGAGGATGAACAAATGGAAGATGGATGGATGAATGGATGGAGGATGGATAGATGGATGGATGGTTTGGATGGACAGATGGAGGATGGATAGATGGATGGATGGTTTGGATGGACAGATGGAGGATGGATGGATGGAGGATGGACAGATGGAGAATGGATGGAAGATGGACAGATGGAGGATGGATGGATAAATGGATGGAGGATGGATGGATGGATGGTTTGGATGGACAGATGGAGGATGGATGGATGGAAGATGGACAGATGGAGGATGGATGGTTAAATGGATGGAGGATGGAGGATGGATAGATGGATGGATGGAGGATGGACAGATGGAGGATGGATGGATAAATGGATGGAGGATGGATAGATGGAGGATGGACAGATGGAGGATGGATGGAAGATGGACAGATGGAGGATGGATGGTTAAATGGATGGAGGATGGAGGATGGATAGATGGATGGATGGAGGATGGACAGATGGAGGATGGATGGATAAATGGATGGAGGATGGATAGATGGATGGATGGTTTGGATGGACAGATGGAAGATGGATGGATGGATGGAGGATGGACAGATGGAGGATGGATAGATGAATGGATGGAGGATAGACAGATGCAGGATGGATGGATGGATGGATGGAAGATGGACAGATGGAGGTGGATGGATAAATGGATGGAGGATGGATAGATGGATGGATGATTTGGATGGATGATTGGATGGATGGACATATGGAGGATGGATGGATGGAAGATGAGTGAATGGAAGAATGATGAATGAATGGAGGATGGGAAAGATGAATGCGTGACGCTAACATTCAGAAAGGAGTGGGCGAGTGTTTTCCCCCCAAACCCAGTGCAAAACCCACACACCTGTTCTTTCTCACAGCCTCCTGGGCTCACATCTAGCAGCTGCTGTGTCCTAGCCACACCTGTTCCTCCTCTCCCACCCCCATTCCCAACTCATATGCTCTCCCACCTGGACCACCACACCAGGACTTGAACCCTCTGCCTCGAGGCCTGTCTTGTCCCCTTCCCCTACACTGGTTGCAGATTTCATGGCACTGATCATATCCCTCTCTTCCATGTCTCCCACAGATGAGAGCCCAGCCCCTCGTGAGGTTTCTAAACCCCTCACTGCACTTCCTCAGACGCTTTCCCAGTGAGGACAGGAGCCTTGCCCACCCCCCAGGCTGCTAAACCTATGTGTCTCAGTTTATTCTCTTTCTCACCTGAAACACCTTTCCTCTCGCCATCCTTCAAGGCCCAGTGAAAATGCTGCCTCCTCCTAGAAGTCTCCCAGCCTCATCCCAAACTGGAAATCAAGTATTCCTCTTCTGAAACACTGTGGTCTTCTTCCATCTCATCATGTGCCCTCCGTTTACCCACCCATTCGACCAGCAGGTCTTGACCCATCTGCTGGCCAGCTCTGCCTTGGGCACAGGTCGGCAGGGGTGGGCAGATGTGGCTGGGGCAGGACTGTCTCTGGAGGCTTTTCGGAAGAGAGACCCAGATCTCACAAAAGCTCTCCAGGCAGAGAATGTGCATATGCAAACCGGGCTGTGCACATCGCTCACGTCACATTTGCCAAGTGACAAGGGCAGGGAACTGCTGAGGCCAGAAGGGTTAAAATTGGGGCTTGAATAGTGAGATGAGACACTTGGTCATCATCCAGCTGACCACAGGAGCCAGTGGCCATTGGCGGGCGGCTTGTGCAGGTGGCACGAGTGGAGAATTGACTTTTTGTGTCTCTGCCTCCCCTGGATACCAGACTGTGCAAAATAAGGCTTCAATCCCTGCTCTGCAGATTCAGCCTGCGTTGAGCTGAATCGGCCCACGTGGGTGGGGGGTGGATGGATGGCTCGATGGGCGGATGGACACGTGGGGGCAGGCAAGGACACAGTGTTTATTTCACACCACTGCATGCCGGCCTTCGCCCAGCTCACATGAGTTGGCTTGAATGTTGTTTTGTTTCTATTTGTTTTGTGAACAGATGAGGGAACAGGGGCTCAGAGGGACAAGATGGCTTGTCTGCCCCAAGAGCTCAGATTTTAGCCAAGACCTTCTGACCCCGAGTCTGCCCCATGCCCTTGGTGTACAGTGCTGGTCAGGAGACCCACAGCTGGGTGACCAGATGGATGCATTCTCAGGCGTGGGCTCCACAGCCAGCCAGTTCCATCCTCCCTTCTGCCCAGAATGGAGGCAGTTCACCCTGCAATCACTTCCAGGTATGCCCCAAAACCTCTCTGCACTCACTGCCCCCAACCCCCGCAGGAAGGACACACGAAGAGCAGCCCAGGGAGAAGGTGTAATGAGTAGTCCCTGCCCCCTCAGAAGAGTCAACCTCACAGCACTCCCAACCCCTGCAGAAACCCAGCACCATCCAGAAACCCCTGACCTACCTACAACCTGAGCCAGATGGGCCTGCCCCATGCCAGCCGGCCAGCCACAGCCTGAGCCAAGGGGGAGGAGGGACGGCTTCCGGACGGGAGTCCAGGCAGCCAGACCCATGTCCGCAGGCTGCTGGCAGGGCACAGAGAGGGGAGGCAGAGCTCCACCAACCGCGGCCTCAGCCCCCCAGCAATGGCGCTCTCTGCTCAGGATTGGTCTGGGGAGCCAGAGCTGGAGCTGGTTAGAGGCATGACCCCTAGTTCCAGGGGCCCCTTTCCTTTGTTGCTTCTCCACACGCATGCGCGCATGCACGTGTGCACGCAGGAACATACACTCACCACACACGCATGCTCTCACACACTTGAACACACATTTACACATACCACGCACTCATGCAATTACACACACATGCACACAGAGATACACTCACACCACACATGCACACACATTTACACACAGCATGCACACTCATGAGATTTACACACACATGCCCACTCAGGTACATACACCACACACATCCTCACACACTTGTGCACACACATTTACACACAGCATGCACACTCATGAGATTTACACACACATGCCCACTCAGGTACATACACCACACACACATCCTCACACACTTGTGCACACACATTTACACACACCATGCACACTTGTGTAGTTACACACACATGCATAAAGGTACACACCACACATGCCCTCACACACTTGTGCACACACATTTACACACACCATGCACACTCACGCAGTTACATGCACAAAGGTACACATCACACATGCCCTCACACACTTGTGCACACACATTTACACATACCATGCACACTCACGTGCGATTACACACATGCACACACACTCAGGTGCATACACTCACACCACAGATGCACACATACTGTGCACACACATTTACACAAACCATGCACACTCGTGTGATTGCACACATGCACACATAGACATGCACATGTGCACACACATGCAAATACACTCATGCCTACACACATACACATGCACACATAATGCACAAAATATATGTACACACTCGTGCACACCATGCATTCACATGCACACACACACAGTTACACTTAGTACATGCCCATTTATGCAATTTCACCCTCGCGTACATGCACACTGGCACATGGTCACACACAGGCCTCTGTGGCAGAGCCCAGGGATGGGTCCTCAGGCCCGAGGGGAGGGAGGCGCATGCCTGTGGGCAATGCTGGGTCTGGCAATGATGATGAGTCAGGAGCAGGACGGGAAAGCCGGGGGCAGTTGCGATGCCAGGTGGGGTGGGACTGAGCTCAAGGATGGAGCAGAAGTAAAGCTGGCCAGGCATCCTTCCTCCCAGCCAGCCTCTGCCCGGCCTCTTCCCTCCCCACATCTCCCGTCTTCTCCCCCACCCTGAGGGCAGCTGCATCAGTGGAGTACATCTGGCCACTCAAGTCTGGGCTGGGGAAATGTGATGATCGGGGTAAACATGAGCCAGGCCCTTCCTTCCGGTGCGTCAGCATGGGGAGGAGGGCACCGCCTGCCCTCGCCTTCACGCTCCCTCCCCTAGGAAGGGCTCCAGCACTGGACATACTTACACGGGGCTGGCCCCTCAGTGTGAGCCCATCTTAGCTTCCCTCCCACCATCTCAGTCCCTTTCGCTCCACCTGGCCTCGGCGGGACAGGGTCATGTCTGCCCAGCACCTGCTCTGCTCCCAGCCAGCTATTCTCGCAGCACAGAGGGGCTTCTGGAAGCCATGCCCTCTCAGGTGGGGGCTGGGGAGGTGCGGGATATGTTGACATCTCCTTCCCTGGGCCGCCCTGGCCACCCAGCACTGGCTTCCAAGGAGGGCTGAGCTGTCTAAGTACCCACCCTTGGGCTCCTGGTGAGGAGCTGGAGAAGAAGGTGGCCTCTCTTCCTTTCCGCAGTGGGAGGACTCCAAGCCCTCTTCAGCTCCATGCTGGCCCCATCCCTGTACGCCGAGGGGTGGCTGCTGTCCAGGTCTCTCCCATGTCCCCTGAGCCTGAATCCCTACTGGCCCCTCCTACAGGTTCTGCTGAGCTGGTTGAGCAGAAAGTTAGGCCCTAATGGCTCACGAGAGGGAAGGGCAGACCCCTGCCTTCCCAGACCTAGCCAGTGCTCCCACCTCTCTGGGATGCACCATCAGGACCCGTCAACTGTCCTTTGATCCCTCGGCCCCTCAACCGCTCCTGCTCTACCCGTGGGCTCCTCTGAGAGGAAGAGGGGTCAAGCACCCCCAGCCAGGGACAGTCCTGTCACCCCACCTCTCCAGCCCACCCTTGCCCCTGCCGCCACCGCCCAAGCTCACTTTGAGAGAGTAGGCCAAGGCGATGAAGCCCAGGCAGCAGAAGTTGAGGTAGACAAAGTTGAAGATGGACCACAGGTAATAGTCGTTCACCTCGGTGGTGTCCGGGTAGACCTCGATGACGGTCGTGGGGTTGGTCATCGTCTTCTTCTCGGCGAGGTGCTTGCAGGCCGGGGGGGCGCCGGCAGCCCGAACGCTGTCGGTCTTGCTGCTCTTGGACTCCATGGGAAACAGTGTGGGCGCCATCGGGGGAGAGGCAGAGGGCTCAGGGGCAGGGGCCGCTGGAGCCTGCAGGGCTGGGGGCTTGGACACGCAAGCGAAGCAGCCCTTGGGCGAACCTGCCGGGGGCCTCGGGATCCAGAAGGCCCCGTCCAGGGGGACTCGGGCTTCCTGGGCGCCGTCCGTGGTGCTGGCCGGGGCTCCCAGCGGGGCTGGGCACTGGCCGGGGCCCTGGGCCTGGAGGGAAGGAGAAAGTGAGAACTAGCTGGACCTGACCCACCGGCCAGCACCTACCCTCACGCCCGGCAGCCCCGAGAACAGCCCCAGTGGAGACGGAAATCCCTGCGGGGGCCGCCAGCTGCCAGCCTGCCACCTGCCTCCCCCACCCGCCCCGGGCAGCGGCGGCCACTGACGATGCCAAAGCCCTTCGCAGCAGCCTTGGCAGGGAACTGGGGCTTTCATCCCTTTGCCATCTGCGCACAAACACCCCCTGGCACGCACGCCAGCACCCCCCTCAGAAGCACATCGACGCTGGGACTGACACTTGCAAAACACAGCGCGAGCCCTGGTACCCCAACCAGCTCCGCACCGGCAGGCGCCGGACCCACAGCGCCGCTGCTTCGGCGGCCAACCCGCGGAGCGAGCAGCGAGGCCAAAGCACCTGCACACGGCGCCCGCGGACACCCGATCCCGCCACCCGCTCCACCGCGGGCACTCAGAGCCCCCGCTGCCGAGTAAACAATTCCCCACGCAGGGCGACGCAGGCTTAGCCACGAACGCCGAGAGCCGGCACAGGTGCGGGGTCTCCCACCCGCGCGCACTGTCCCCCACCTGCAACCCGCGGACCCCGAGCGCGCACAACCGCCCGGAGCCACGCGCCACCGGGCCACAAATAGACACCCCGTTCTCCAACGAGGCACCCAGTCGCCCGCGCCCTGCGCCACCCGCTTGCCCAGCGTGTACGGCGCGCGCCGGGGGGTCTGCGGCCAAGGCTCTGCGGCCCCCAGCCCGACCCAGGTCTGCCGCAGCCGCCCGGACGGCGCCTCCTCACCTACAGGCAACTCCTTGGCGGGCGGGCGGCCGGACCTCTGCGCCTCGGTGCGCGTCCTTCCGCCGTCCCGCGGGCTGCTCTCTGTCCACGGATCCGGGTCCCAGCGGCCCAACCTTGAGGGGGTGGGGAGCGCGCGGGGCTCGGCGGCGGCGCCGCTGCCTCCCGCGCCGCCTGCGCTCCCTCCGCAGCGCCAGGCCGGCCGCGCGGCTGCAGCTCAGAGCCTGACTCACGGCGGCGGCGGCGGCGGAGGGCACAGCCACCTCCCCGCCTCCCGTCTCCTCCTGCTGGGAGGGTGGGGGCCGCGGGCCGGGAAGCCGCTACCCTGGGGAGTTGCAAAGTCCCTCAGGGATCGGACCCCTACAGCGCCCGACCAGGGTGCCCACGCCACCTCCATCTCCCCGGACCCAGTGAGCCTGCCCCCTCTCCCCACCCGACCCTATCCCTTTCGTGGATTCCCCAGCCCCGTGGAAGATGGGCCGCTCCCCGAACCCTCCCCATCTGCCTCCCCAAGAGATACCCCTTCCTCTCCCCGGTCTCCCTATGGCTCTCCACCCCAGCGCCAGGGCCCTGCTGCCTCCCGGACCCCCGCCCCTGGGTCTTGCCCCTCTGGCCTGTTGGCTCTCAGTGCCAGCAGCTCAGTCCCCTCCTTAAGAAGCCCCAGTGCCCTGAGCCCCAGCAGGCCCCCTACCTGAGTGCCCATCTCTGCCCAGTCCTGTCCCCAAGGCCCCCAAGGCCACCCTCCAGTCCCTTCCCTCCTTAGCCTAGGAGACCAGGCACTCTGTGAAGTTTCAGGGTCCCCTCCTCTGTTCCTTCCTTGCTGAGCCCACTACTGCCCCCTTTCCTGGAGTCCGACTTCACCCAGCCAGGGGCCCCACTCCAGGTCACTCCCAGATTTCGAGGAGCATGTGGTCTCTCCTGTACAGACCCCCGCATGCTCCCTCTGCCTGCAGGGCAAAGCGTCCCATTTCGAACTTTGGTCTCAGAGCTGCTGAGATCCTTGTCTCCCTGGAGACTGGTTCATTCACCTGCCCACAGCCTCTCTGGGATCCTGACCAGCCCTTTCTGGGCCTGGTCCCCTGAGGATGCTTTGCCCCCCACAAATCATTTCTCCTAACCAGTGCCTCAGCTTCCCCAACATGTCCTCACTCTCAGTACTCGTGACCCCAGCTCATCTTCCATCCCTGTTAACAGTCCCCACAAGTCCCTCCCCATGGAGAAAACTCCAGCCTTCCCTTTCTCCCACTTCACCACGCAGGTGCCGAGCTGGGTCCTCTTCACCAACCTCCAGCTTCCAAAGTCCCTCCCCATGGAGAAAACTCCAGCCTTCCCTTTCTCCCACTTCACCACGCAGGTGCCGAGCTGGGTCCTCTTCACCAACCTCCGGCTTCCACGGAGCCCTGACCCTCTCCAAAGTCCCCTGGAAGCTGAGGATGACCCCGTTCCCTCCCTCATCTCTCCCCACGCTCTTTCCTCCTAACTCCCTTCTCTGCTACTCTCAATCGGCCTCCTGTGTCCCTGAGACCCGCTTTCCTGGTTGGAAGCCTGGTCCTGCCGGGGGGGTACCTCCTGTCTGCCCACCTGGGCCTGAACCCAAGGTCATCTCTGAACCCTTTCTCTCCCCAAACCTCTGTGCTCTGAGCCCTGAGCCCTTCTCTGAACCCTGATCCCGTGGAAGAGCCTGGCCTTCTGCAAGCCCCTCCCTTTTCCAGCCTAGTCCCCGCCTCTCATGCCTGGGCGGACCCCTGGCACAGCTTTATCCATCGCATGCCAGGAACCCACAGCAGAAGGCTGATCTTAAATGACGATAAACCCTATCGAGTGGGAGGGATCCCTAGGCACAAGTGAGCCTCCTCCCTGTCTCCTTGGGCAACCCAGCCATGCCTTCCCAGGAGCCCACAGGCCATGGGTAGATGGGGGCTGCCAGGGAAGCAGGGTTCCGTTCTCCCTCCCCAGCTCCGCTGCCTCCTGCCCAAGGACCTGGCCCAGAGAAAACTGGACCTGGCGTGCTCAAGCAGGGCTTCCCCTGGGGGCCTCCCAGGGTGTGTGTGGCCTGCATGCCATGCCCTGGTGTCCCCAGCATCTGAGCTGGGCCTACCTGGCCAGCCACCACCTTCTGCGAGACCCTGGCCTGCAACAGAGCCTCGGCCCAGTGCTGCCCCAGTCTCCCCTGGAGGCCTCAGGCAGTGAGGAGGCCTCAAAAGCAGGAGAGGGTTGCTGGGCCCGAGGAGCCAGGGCCTGCCCCGGGTCACTGGGTAGGTGAGAGGGGAGCCAGGGCCTGCCCCGGGTCACTGGGTAGGTGAGAGGGGAGCCAGGGCCTGCCCCGGGTCACTGGGTAGGTGAGCGGGGAGCCAGGGCCTGCTCCTGGCCTCAGGCCACCTTGGAGCTCCCTCCCTCTGAGGCCAGGAAACACTGCTGAGAGGAAGCCAGGGCCCAGCCAGCATTCACGTGACTGTGCTGGGCTCCCCAAGGGCCTGGGATCCAGCATCCCCTCTGCTAGGGGTGTCTGGTCCAACTCAGTCTAGACAGGGGGAACTCTAGGCTCAGGGTCCAGTCACCCAGCTAGAAAACCACAGAGGAGCCTGGACTTGAGCCTGGATTCAGACCCCCAGGCCCCAAGAATCCTGCCTGGCTAGAGGTAACCCTTGGAGCAACACCAGGGCAGCAGCCGTGGAGATGGGAGACAGAAGGAGCAGATAGGCTGTAGGGGAAGGGAGATGGGGGGGAAGCAGGACAGGGCGGGGCAACAGGGCACAGCTGCCTCCTTGCACACTCTGCCCTCCTGGGCCTCTCAGTGCACAGAGCATCTGATGACAGGGCATTTGTCTCCCCAGAAGCCCTGCCAGGCCCTGCAGAACTCTGGCTGGCTCTGCTCAGGTTTCAGACATGCAGAGTGCCGGGCATGTGCTTCCAAGCCTCTGTGCCACCCTGGGTAAACGTTCTTGCTCCCGGGGTCCACCCCTGCATGGCTCTAGGGTACACTGAAGCCCCTGGGGAGGAAGGCCAGGACAGCCACCTCCCTCAGGCTGAGGCATCAGGATAGAAAATGTCACATTTGCCTCACCTTCTAACCCGTCGGGGTGGGGCTTGAGGGTCCCGGTGACTCCAGAGCTACTGATCCCAAAGAACTCTGCTCCGACCACCACGTGCCGGCAAACTCCTACTTATCCCTTAAAACCCCATGGGGCTGCTGCCGCCGCCGCATCCGGGAACATGCTCCCAACCCCTCCCCTCCCAGTGGGACAAATGCACCATGTTAATCAGCCTGGGCATCTGTGGCATCGGTGGCTGAAGGGGACTTGTGAGTTCAATCCCTGTAACCAGTGACCCTGGGCAGGCTTGCTCCGCACCAACTCGGCTCACCACACACAGGCTGCTACTAGGGCCTGGCAGGCAAGAAGGCCTAGCTAGGCCAGATGCCCGTGCCACTGAGGGCCCAAAGGGTGCGGAGTGACCGGGGGGAGGTCCTGCTCTGATGCTCCCTAGTGCAGAAACATCCTCGGTTAAAGTGGTGTGGCTGCCTGGCTGGACCACCTCCCCGAGGTTACTCCTCCAGGCTGGCACTCATGCTGAAAACCTTGTCCGCCCCACCCTGTAGCGCCGGCCAAGGCCACATCCTGCTGGCCACGGCTCCAGACCTGGGAACAAGTCAGTCCCCTCTAGCTGACCAGGCGGGACAGCTGGCCATAGTCCCAGAGCCCATGGGCAGGAGGCCATAGGCCCAGGGCACCCCAAACGCTCGTCTCAGAGCTGCCGAGTCAGCCCTGCCATGGCGGCTATGCACTACCCACCCCATCTCAAGCTGGAGCCACCCCCACCAAGTAGAGAGCACAGCAGCAGAGAGGGAGGCCAGCAACTGTATTTCCAGGTCAGCCTGGGCTCTCGGCCGCCCAAGGGGAGGACAGCAGGGGTGAGTAGCAGAGGATGGCGGGCGCCAGCCCTGTGTCCCAGCTTGACCTCCAGGCCACCCTGTAGCCACAAGGTGGGCTGTCCCCTCTCACTCCTTCCAGCTCATCCTAGGCCTCCACTGGCCTCACCCTCAACGGGCCTGAAAACATTAGACAGGTAGGGGTGGCAGAGCCTGGCTGGGCCCAAGCTGGGCAGAGGGGCCCTTGGGCAGGGCAGGTTTCCAAGGGAGGGTCGAGGACGATGGCCTGGTGCGGGCTGGGGAGGGGACTCCCTGGAGATGAGGGGAGCCCCAGGATGTGCCAGCTCAGCCGCCAAGCTCGGCCGCGGTCTTCCAGGTGCGTGAAACAGATCTGTGCTCCGGACCAGCTCTACCCCTCCAGACAGACGGACAGACGGACAGGCAGGCAGTGTTTCTGAACCCAGGGAGGGGAAACCACAGAGCAAACCAGGTCGGGCTTGGGCCACCAGTCTCTAGGATGCCCAGGCAACCGGCGGGTGAGTGTGTGGGTGTGAGAATGTGGAGGGGGTGGGGGCCTCCTCCCCCGGGGCCCTTCTCCGTCTCTGTGCTGGCAGGCGGACGGCTCAGGAGCTAGACGCGGGTAGCCTGGGCGAAGCCCACCCTGTTGTTGTCTCGGTCAAACACAGTGTAGTAGCGGCCGATGAAGACGTCACCCAGGATCCAGAGTGGCCCGCTGGGTGGCGGGATGTCCATGCCCATGAAGCCGCTCAGGCAGATGGTCTTCCCAGCCTGCGACACCTGGGATGGGGCTGGCGGTCAGCACCCAGGCCTGGCACCACCCGCAACCCGCCGTGGGCATCCAGACCATGAGCATCCCCGCCTGTTGCCCACTCACCTGGAGTATGCCCCCCAACTGCCTGCTCACCTGGAGCACGCACCCCCACCCTGCCCACTCACCTGGGGTGTCTCCCCTCCCCCACCAACCACTCACCTGGGGTGTCTCCCCTCCCTCCACCATCCACTCACCTGGGGTGCCTTCCCCCCTCCTGCCCACTCACCTGGGGTGTGCCTTCCCCCACCCCGCCCACTCACCTGGGGTGTGCCTTCCCCCCTCCGCCCACTCACCTGGGGTGCCTTCCCCCCTCCTGCCCACTCACCTGGGGTATGCCTTCCCCCACCCCGCCTGCTCACCTGGGGCACGAGGCCCCTATGGCCTGCCCACCTTGAGTGTGTAGTCCTGCGGGGACAGCTCGTAGTCTTTGCCTCCCAGCTTCAGCATGATCACGGGCAGGGTGGACACCTTCTCACAGGGGATCATGTACTGAGAGGGACCAAGCAGTGTCAGGGTGGCAGCGGTGGCCGTGGGGCTCCACCCCACCAGCCCCAGCCCCAGTGCTCACCTCGCCCTGGATCAGCGGCATGGCCCCAATGGCCTTCTGCAGCTCCCGCACCTCATCCACAGGGCCCACCATGAGGGACGTGCCCGTGTCCACAATGGCCTCACAGCCCCCCTTGCACAAGGTCAGCCCGCTGGCTACCTCCACCCTGTGGGAAGTCAAGGCGTGAGGCCCATGCCCAATCACAATGTGCACTGGGGGCCCAGTGCCCGTCCCCAGGAGCCCTTCCCTGGCACTCTCCTCTCTAGGCTGCCGATGCACAGGGGGCTGTAGGCCCTCCAGGGTGAGGGGTGGGAGAAGAGACGCAGGGTGGCAGAGAGGGTGGGAGACCCTCAGGTGGTAGTGAGGGGCATGGGGGGCATGGAGAGCATAGAAGAGATGGAGAAGATGGAGGGATGGAGGGATAGAGGGAAGGAGGATGTATAGAGGGATGGATGGAGGGGATGGAGGGATGGATGGGATGGAGGAAGAGATGGAGGGATAGAGGGATGGACAGGATGGAGGGATGGATGGAGGGAATGAAGGGAGAGATGGAGGGATGGATGGAGGGGATGGAGGCATAGAGCGTAGGAGGGATGGAGGGGATAGAAGAGATAGAGACAGGGATGGAGGGGCATGGAGGTCACAGAGAAACAGAGGGATGGAAGAGCACGGAAGGGATGGAGGCGCATGGAGGGAGGGAGGGTCATGTTCCCAGAGGAGGGAAGCCCCAGTGACCAAGCGTCACGGAGTCACAGAGGGATGGAAGGCATGAAGAGTCATGGAGGGGATGGAGGGCATGGAGGCTGGTCCAACCCCATCTCTTTCTTGCTCAGCTCTACCATTCCCCCCACATGCAACCCCACCTGCAGAACCGGGAGTCCTCCAGGGTCCCCAAACGCCACCCCCCACCCACAGAACCCAGGGGAGCTGCCTGCAGCCACTACTCACTGGTCCATGTGGACCTGCCAGTAGGCCTTGCGGGTGACGTTCAGGTAGAACAGGGAACCCTTGTAATACTTGGAGTCTGTGCCACCCAGCATCAGCTCACCCCCAGGCTGCGCATCCGGGTCCCTGAGAGGAAAAGGAAGGGAGCGTCAGCTGCCACTGCAGCCCCCCGAGTGCTGGGTCAGGAGTAAGGGGGTCAATGTGGCAGTCAGAGAGAGCCTCCTGGACTGGAGGGGTCTTCCTGGACCCGCAGGGATGGAAAGGCCCAGAAGGCAGGAGAGATGGACTCCCTTCTTCCTGGGGTTGGCTTTGCTCATACCCTGGTGAGCCCAGCCTGCCCCAGAAGAGGTTTTCCTCAACACTCAGGTTCTCCTGGTCTGCTTCCGGGACGGGAGAAGGTACAGCCCGGAAGCTGGGATGGCTCGTTCTGGCCCCAGAGCCTCTGCACCGCTGCTCCTGCAACGTCCTCCACCCACAATCCCGAGCCACGTGGGCTCATCTCCCCTCATCCAGACCGTGGATGGTCAGCACGGCGCTCCCGGGAGGGGTGCACCGCACTTCCTGGACCTGCAGCCCGTGTCGCCGGGGTTCGTTTTTAAACACTGATCAAGTTCAAGCCGCCAACGCAGCAAACCCTGCCAGTCCCGTTAGAGAAGGTCTTCCTGTCTGGGGCGTCTGTGGCTAAGCTGGCCACCATCCCGCTGCCCGTCCCCACAGGGCAGCACCAGGCCTGACCCAGTCCTGCCAACAGGCTCAGCACTCCGCCCTCCTCCACCTGTGCTCCGGTCAGCACCTCTGCAATCCCAAGTATAGAAACCCGAGCAGCGCCTCCTATCCAGCTCACGTTCCCCGCAGCCAAAACTGCCTTTCCAAGCCCTCAGACCCTCACCCCTGCCTGGCTTCACTTCCTGCCCCAGCCACGGCCTTGGGACCAAACCTGGGCACTCACACCTGCGTGCCCCTCCCGTACCCCATGCCCCTTCCCCATGTGGACACTCAACTCTGTGTCCGTCCCACCTAAGCACTCACACCCGTGTGCCCCCTCCCCACATGGACACTCACCCTGTGTCCCTTCCCCCACTCTCGCACTCATGCGGACATTCATGCCTGAGTGCCCCTCCCCCACCTGGACACTCACACTGTGTGCCCGCTCCCCTGTGCCCCAAGACTCCTGGAGAAATGACCCAGCCGGTTCACCTGTGTCCTGGCCTCTAGTGACCAGCTTTGCCCAGGGTGTTGCTATGGAGTATTCACTGCCCAGGCAAGGGACAGAGCAAAGAGCCAGGCCAGGATGACTGCCGGAATTCTGCTGGAAGTGCACCAAGGTCAGCAGTCAGGCCCAGAGACTCCAAGTGCCAAGTGAGCCACGTGAGGTGAACTGCCCACGTCAGCCCTGGAGAGTGGGGCAGTGGCCAGGCGCAGCTCAGGGTGGGAGGCTGCTGGCTGACAGGCTGCCCACCCTCAAAGCAAAGGTCTCCAACCCCCAGTCACCCCTCCTACAGGGGGGGTGAACCCCCACTCAGGTCAGCCCGAGAAGAGGAAACCAACCAAGGCTGAGGTCCCCTTCCCAAGGTCACCTGACCATGGGTGACAAACGCTGGAGCAGCAGATGCAGGTGGGGGTCCTGGGGACGCTCCCCCTATGCTCCCTGGAGGGCAGCCAGCACCGATGGGGACGCCTAAAGAGCTGCCCGCCGCACGGTGCTGGGGACCCGTGTCCACCCAAGGTCACCTCCCGACAACCCCAGGTCCCTGGACACCATGACCCCTCTACTATCAGCAACCCTGGGACCAGGATCACATGTGCTTATCACCAGGCCCGGGGAGCACCAGGCACTGAACCAAGAGGAACTGCCACGCCCCTGACCTGAGTCTGTTCTCACAGGAGGGAAGCCCCAGCAGCCAAGGTCCGAGGACCCACAGCCTGGCCCAAGCCCCTCCCACTGGGAGACCCTGGCCAAACAGCTTTCTCTGAGATGCTGCTTCTTCCTCTGCAGAAGGGTAGCACCCCTGCCTCCCGGATGCCCTGAGGTCAGAGGTCGAGAGCTGTGGCCCTAGCAGCAGGGAGGGAGCAGCGCTGAGTGGGGGTGCCCAGGAGGCTCCCAGCCACGCTGAGCAAGGTAAGCAGGAGGCAGGAGGGAACCCACGGGCCACCTGTTCAGGTAGAAGGAGAAGATGTTCTGGTCCACCAGCTTCTGCTGCATGAGGTTGTCGAAGACGGGCAGCACGTTGTTGACAGAGATGCGGGGATAGGCCATGCCCAGGATGCCGTCGAACTTGGCTGCGATGAAGGTGATGCCCGGCTGCTTGGTGGCCTCCCCAAAGACCTGCCTCTCCACCTTGACACCGCCCAGGGCCGAGGCAGACAAGGATGAACGGCAGGGTACCTGCGGACCAGGGCGGGTCAGTGGGCTGGAGACAGGGGCGCTCTGCGCCTCCCTGGGCTTGAGGCTGTGCTACAAAACCCAGCTCAACAGATGCCCCTCATCTCACACACGCCGGGGCCCAGGGGCCCAGAAGAAAGGACTGGGAACCCTGAGCTGCACACAGCTGGGGATGGGGACACGGGTTTTAACGAGATGGGAAAAGGTGGGAGCACAGATGGGCAGGCCCCTTGCTCTGCTCCCTGTTCCGACCTCTCGTTCCCACCACCAATGCCGGGCAGGTCCTGCTCTGCTCCTGCCCTAAGCCTTGAGAACAAGAGACAGCCTGGGCTAGAAGCCTGAGAGATGGGGAACCCGCTGACCCCAGCCTGGACTCAGTCACGCTGCCCCCTTCCCCTTCTCCGCCTGTCCCCTCCCCCAGCCCTGGATGAGGCCGCAGAGAGAACAGGCCACAGCAGGATGTGGCAAGGGAACGGCTGCTCGAGGCTGACACCAGGCAGAGGGGGCGGAAGGGGGCAGACGAGGTAACTTCCTGTTCAGGCTGAGCAGGGCCCAGGGAAGAGAGGGGCCCGAGGAGCCCCCAGAACAGACCTGGACCCCAGCCCCTCAGGGACTGCTAGGAGCAGGTCCAGCTGGAGGAAGGGCCCCTCTTCCCGGGCCCTGGCCCTGAAGGGGAGCTCTGCTGCCCTCGTGACCTGCTCCAGAGCTGGGGCCTGTGTCACCAACCCAGAACTCCTGAACCCCTTGTGGCCTGCCCACCCCAGCAGGCAACTCCAAGGTGAGAACTCACTGAGGCCCGGGCAAGGCGTCAGGGGCCAGCTCACCCTCTCCCTGGGCAGGGAGACCCTCTGCCCTGAGCCCTGGGGACAGGAGATGACAGGTGGGTCCCCCAACAGCCACTGCTGCTCAGCCTCCCATTCCTTCCCGGGCGCCTGCAGGTGCCTCTCTGCCAGCAGCCCCCACAGCGGGTTCCTGGCACATCCCCCCACCCCCAAGCCTCCCAACACCTCAGCCCCAGCCCCCGCCCTCAACATCTGCTGGCACCTCAAATCCAATGTGCCAAAGAGCCCAGTCAATCTGCCCTGGCCTCCCTCCCACTCACTGTGGCCTGACACTGGGTCACCTGGCCCTGCAGCCCCCGCCCCGGGTTCAAGGCTGTCCTTCCAGCCTGCACTCAACCAGACCATTCCAGGCTCCTCCTCACGCAGTTCTCCCCACCCCCCGCCCTCCTGCTGGCCAACAGCCACCTCCTGCCCCCTCCTCACCCTGCTGACCACCCCAGCCACCTGCTGAGAGCCCTCCCTTTCAATCACATACCCCGGGAGGGGCCCCAGAGGGACTCACCAACACGGTGTCCTGGCTCAGGTACCCGGAGAGGCTGCCCGAGCCATAGTGGATGTCGAAGGAGGTGCCATTCTTCACGTAGGTGCTGGACTTGGCACTGTTATACTTGTGGTGCATCCCTGCACCGGGCAAGAAGGAGCCGCCGGTCACCCTACAGCCACGGCACGCCACGGCCCTCCCATCCCTCAATCTACCATGGAACCCGCCCCAGTGAGCTGCATCCTCAGGGTGGGATGTGGAGGGGATGCCAGAGCCTCGGGACTGTGGGCTGTGATCCCAGCCACAGCTGGCTCCCTCTGCGGCCGCCCTGGCCCCAGCGCTGCTGAGAGCAAGACCATGGCTGGTGGTTCACCCAGAAAGCCAGTGCCTGGGATGGGGTAGGGGGCTGGCCTGGCTCATGGGGCTGAGGGGCAGGAGAAGTGTTTGCCCAAGTGACTGAGGCATCCCTGAGGTGACATCCCGGAAGGGCAGCGGACATGGGGCCAGGTGGGTGACTCACAGCAAGCGATATCCAGCAGTTTGCAGTGGATGGAGGGGACCCACAGATTGGAGGAGCCCGTGTCGAAGACGACCGTGAAGCACTGTGGGGGAGTCCCGATGCCAATCTCCCCGTAGTACTGGGCCTGACAGGGGACAGGGTCCGTCTGGGATGGTGGAAGGGGCCCCATCTCCCCATGGGGCCTCGGAAGACCCGGCTGTCCCCAGAGCCAGGCCCTGAAAGCCCATGCTGGGGGGAGGGATCATGGGTTCCACACAGCCACCCACTCCCACCTGCTCAGCCTGCAGGGAAGATGGGCCAGGTTATCAGCCCTAGGTCCTAATGCCCAGAGGCCCATGGGGTCTCCAGACCCCTATCCCTGCCCAATACATGCTGAGGCTGAGGACTTCCCCACAGAAAAGAAGGCCAGAGGTCAAGCCAGGGTGGGGGCAGATGTGGCCTCGGCCTGAGCCCTGGGTGCAAGAAAAGGCGTGCCTGGAAGACTCCCCTGTCATCCTGGGGTCCAGGGCCTGAGATGGGAAGTGACTTCATCTCCAGGCTGGGGCCATGTCAGGGTCTGATTCTGGGGGCCTCAGTGCCTGCCCTGCCTTCCAGGGCCAACCCCAAGCCTGGAGGGCTTCCAGGCGGAGGGTTTCAGCTGGCCAAGGGGAGAAGGCAAGCCTTGGAGTCAGTCCCTACTCAGCAACCCTGCCTTCGCAGCCCAGGCCTCAGTTTCCCCATGTGTACACGGGAAAAGCAGGGGCAGCTGGGGGTGCTGACCCAGGGATCATGCAAATACAAGGGGTCCCATGTCCGCTGAGCCTCTCAGGGAGCAGAGAGTAGGAGGGTCGCCTGGGCACCCACGTCCCCCGGGAGTGGCGCCTGGGCCACCATGAGCCACCAGATTCCTGGCACCAGCCCTGCCCAGCGTTTCTCCAACTGCCTGGCTTCCCAGAGTGGCAGCAGCTGCTGACTCATGGCCCCACAGAAGTGACCCCGGGCCGGCAGGGGTTGGGGGAACTCAGCAATTCTCCACGTGTGTGTGTGTGTGTGTGTGTGTGTGTGTGCATGCATCTGTTTGCTCACATGCTAGGGCGATCAGGAACTGACCAGTCGGTCCCAGGCACACAGTCCCCGGCTCCCCCCAGGGCCCCCCCACCCAGTCACATGCCTGTGAGTCTTGGGCTTCCCGTCACAGCCAGGACTCGGGCCAAGTGGGAGAGAGGGCAAGGCCCCCCACAGTGGGCCAGAGCCCCGAGGCTAGACAACAGGCCCTGGCCCCAAACTGACCCCACAGAGCTGGGATAAGGCTGACCAAGCCTCAGCTTGCTGGGTGGCTTCCAGAGTGCTCCACCTGGAAGCCACCTAGCTTGGACCCTGGTTCCCCTCAAGGAGCAGTGGACACAGTAGGGGCTGCTGCTAGGGGATGAAGATGGTGAGAGGCTGGGGAGGGCACTTCTGGCTGGACAGCAGTAAAGACAGGCTCCAGGGCAGCTGGCCACACCCAGGCGAGCTAGCACCGAGGGCAGAGGGCTCCCCTAACCACCCTCCCAGCCCCGAGCAGGGACCAAGACCCTGAAATGACAGGGACCAGGGCAAGGGGTTCCAGGATGGGGCAGAGGAGTGTGGCTGGGCCGGTACACCACCCTGCCCACTCGAGCTGCGCTGCTGAGAACAGGAGGCGGGGAGGGGTTCCCGCCCTCCCACGGGGCTGTCCTGAGCCCAGCTCCGCTTCCAGCAAGGCTAAGCTTCCATACTCACATCCATGTAGTTCTTGAGTATCTCGGGAATGGGGCCCCCGGGCATAGCCGGCATCTCCTGGGAGTACTTTGAGATGGGGCCCTTAGCGATCAGGTCCTCCACGGGGCCCCCCATCTCCGACATGGTCCGGCGGATGCTCGTGAACTTGTGCAGTGGGATTCTGTCAACCAGGAGTCAGGGTGTATCAGCGAGGCCCTCCTGCCTGCAGCTGAGGCCACCAACACTGCATGTCCACTCAGAGGCCTCCGGGGATCTCAAAGTCGCCACAGGCAAACTGCCGGTCACCTGGAACCTGCTGGCCCAGCTCCCAAGGCAGTGGACAGCCACCTGTCACCCCCCCTAGGTTGCACAGGCCACAGTCCTACGTGGTCACCTGTCACCCACCCCAGCCCACACACCCAATCTGGCGGCCAGCGTGCCTCTCCTCAGCCATTCCAGAGGTTCCAAAGACCCCAAGGGGCTCCCATCCTCCCTCTGCACTTGCGCTGGTCTCTTGCAGGATGGGGGCCAGCATGGATGCTCCAAGTGTTGGCAGGCACCTGTCCCTCCTGCCCAGAGTGCTGAGGCGATCCACTGTACCTGGCCCCATCACACCTGCTCTCCACCCACACGCCCCAACTGAGGTGGTCTCATCTTCAGGCCGGCACTGACAGCTCTGCCTGACCTCCCACGTGGCCGCCTCTGGCCATCAGATGGGCCCTCCAAGCCACCTCCAGAAGCCCTCCTTGACTACCTGTCCTCTTCCACCTCGACCCTGTGGCTGCCCAGTGCCCTCATCCCACACCCATTTCTGCGCATCCGCCCCTCTCCTCACCCCATGTGGCTGCACGAGGTCCAGGACTGTACCTGAGGCCTTAGGGGCTTCTGTGCTCTCCCACCCACCACCTGGCTCCCCCGACAGCTGCACTCAGGGTGCCTCTCCAGAGCCCTGCCACCCGGGACACTGCTGGCCAGCGTGCAGGAGAGAGCTCCAGACTGAGGTCAGGGGTCCTGAGTTCTGTACCCAAGAAGCAAACAGCAGAGTGAGGGGTCCCTGGCCTTCCCCTTTGTGTGAACCTACTCCTTGTTCCAAACAAGCCCCTGGGCTTTCAATCACTCGGATAAAACCTCTCTCCTGCCCCAGGGACTTGGAGCCCAAGGTCAAAGCTGGCTTTTCCTGGCAGGCCAAGGGCGCAGTCCAGGAAGATGGGATTATTGCTTAAGAGCAGTGGGCTGGAAGAGCCGCAGGTTCTGTCCTGGGGGAGGGACACGCCCTCCAGGGACCTGGGAAGCAGGTGTAACAGTATCAGTTGCACAGGACTTGGGATCAGGTCAGAAGCTTGGATTCAGCTATCCCGCCCTCAAGAAGTCCCAGGTTTTTCTCCACTGCTGTCTGCCCTCCTTGGAGAGGGGAGGTGTGTAGATAGGGCTGGCAAGCTCAGGGCAGGCTCAGGCTTGTGGCTGCTCCCCAACAATGACTTTAATTGGGGCTACCCACCCCCGAACTTTGGTGAGGCTCAGTCCTACCCAGCGCCCTGCTCCTGCTGGCCCAGCCAGCTCCAGACCCTGAAGCCTTCTGACCTCACCCACCTGCCCAGGGGCAGGGGACCCATCGCAGTTCCCACGTATCCCACAAAGGCACAGAGCAAGGGTGGGGCAGGTGGAGTGAGGTCAGAAGTCACCATACCCCTGCTGGGAATGCAGCCTGCCTTGCAAGGGCTGGGGAAGGAGTCAGTTGAAACAGACCGCAGCATGGCCCTTCTCTACCCAGCCGGTAGGCATGCCGGGGCCCCATCCCATCCAGGCCCAGTCCGAGGCCTCACCTGGCACAGGGGCTCGGCCTGAGGAGGGTGTGGGCCTCACAGCAGCACAGCCCCAGGCCCAGGGTGGGTGAGCCGGCCCACTCCCCATGCCTCCTCCTCTCCCAGGGACGTGGGGGTTTCTAAAGTCCCGAGGGGCCTCTCAGGCCAGGGCCTGTGATATAAGAGCCGCTGAAACAAACTTTTAGAGCCCCCAGTTCACAGACGGTGAAGAGGTCCCTAAGGAGATGGACTCGCCCAGACTCGGGGGCCTGAATCTAGCTCTCCAGCAACAAGGGCGCTCAGTACAGACCCGAATTCCACCTGTCCCGAATGAGCACTACCTCCCCTCGCCCCGTCCCGGGGGAGGCTGCGGTCAGTCTGCCGTCCTCACACCTCCCCCTGGCCCCTCAAGGTCCACCCCAGGGTGGCACGGGGTAGAGGCGTCCGGCGCCTGTGGCCGGGGTCCCCTGCACCTCCGGAGCCCGGCGCCCCACAGGCGGGTGGGCAGTGCAGGAGGCCGCGCAGGGGGCACAGGTGCATTCCTGCGCGGGGCCGCGGGACCGTAAGGGGCTCGTGGGGGTCCCAGGGGAGCGCGGCAGTCACCGCAGGCCCCGGGACTGTCCATCCTCTGAGCCCCGCCCGTGAGGTTTCACCTGACGAGTGCGGCGGCGGGTGCAGCCAGCAGGCCGAGGGCAAGCAGCAGGAAGCACGGGGGCTGCATGGCGGCGGCGGTCGGGTCGGAGCGGGTCGCAGAGGCCGCGCGCTTATACCCGGGATGACGGCGCAGTTGGGCCGGGTCAGGTGACCCGCGTGTTTGCACCGGGGCCGGTCACGTGGGCGCGGCCGGCGTGCGCGGGGCGGGGAATGGGCGGGGCCTGGGAGGGCGCGGGGCGGGGCCTGGGCGGGGCGACCCCTGCGCACGCGCACAGCGCCCGGGAGATCGTCCGCCACGCTCACCGCCCCACAACCCGCGCAGGCGGCGTCAACCCGGCCGGACTTCTGGAGACGGGAGGCCCGGGGCCGTGGGGCGGCCCGCCCTGGAGGGCCCCGCGGGGTGACCCCTGTCCCGGCCGCCGCGGCGCGTCCTGGCCTGCACGGGGCGCTGCGCTCCGGGCCCCTGCACCTGCTTCTCCCAGCGCCCCCTGGTCCCGCCCCGAGGCGCTCCCAGGCCCCGGCTCCGAAAGCCTCTTGCAAACCAAAGTTAAATTCTCTTCTTTTTTTAAAATCACTTTACCCGGCCGGGCGCGGTGGCTCAAGCCTGTAATCCCAGCACTTTGGGAGGCCGAGGCGGGTGGATCGCGAGGTCAGGAGATCGAGACAATCCTGGACAACATGGTGAAACCCTGTCTCTACTAAAAATACAAAAATTAGCTGGGCACGGTGGCACGTGCCTGTAATCCTGGCTACTCGGGAGGCTGAGGCAGGAGAATTGCCTGAACCCAGGAGGCGGAGGTTGCGGTGAGCCGAGATCGCGCCATTGCACCCCAGCCTGGGTAACAAGAGTGAAACTCCGTCTCAAAAAAAAAAAAAAAAAAAAAAAAAAAAAAAATCACTTTACCCGCTTCTGGGAAGCCAAAGTTAAATTCTAAGTCCTCTGCCCACCGAATGGACCCCCCGCTCCTGCAGAGAAACCTGGAAAACCTGCGCGGGTCCCGCCCCCACTCTGGGCGCTGGGCGTAGAGCCCTCGGCCCGACCGGAGGCTGTGCAGCCGGACCCCGAATTCCAGCCTCACCCCGCCTCCCGTGGCAGACGGCCGGCCCCGAAGGCAGGCCGAGGATTCCACCCCAAAGTATATTCCTTTCCCGCGGTTTGATAATGGCCCTGCACAGCTGTGTCTTGAGGGGGCAAAATTCGCACACTGTAGAGAAGCTCCTTCCCTGCTCCTTTTATCCACTCCAACTTTTCTTTTGTTTAATGTGAGACGGAGTCTCGCTCTGTTGCCCAGTCTGGAGCGCAGTGGCGCGATCTCGGTACACTGCTACCTCTATCTCCTTGGGTTTCAAGCGATTCTATGCATCAGCCGCCCAAGTAGCTGGGATTACAGGCGCGCGCTACCCAACCAGGCATTTTTTTTTTTTTTGGTATTTTTAGTAGAGATGCGGTTTCACCATGTTGGCCAGGCTGGTCTCAAACTCCTGACCTCAGGTAATCCTCCCGCCTTGGCCTTCCAAAGTGCTGGGATTACAGGCGGGAGCCACTGCTTTATATGACTTTAATGCTTTATATGACTTTTTTTATATGACTTTTATATGACTTTAATGCTTTATAACTTTCAGCCACTTACCAGTCAGGAAATCCTTGAATCCCCTGTGACCTGGAAGCCACCCCTGCCAAGCCTGTTCCAGGCTGAACCAATGTCTCCCAGAATCTGTTGACTTACGGTTTTGGTTTGTAACATGTTTCTATAAAATACATAAAACCAGGCCAGGCATGGCGACTCTTGCCTATAATCTCTGCATATTTAGAGGACAACGGGGGAGGGTCGCTTGAGCCGAAGTTTGAGGTTAGCCTGGGCAACATGGCAGGACCCTGTCTCTACCAAAAAAAAAAAAAAAAATTGAAAAAATTTTAAAAAATGTATAAAAGCAAGCTGTTCCCCACCCACCCTGGTCACATATTCTCAGAACGTCCTGGGGCGGTCTCACAGGTCATGGGCCTCACATTTGCTCAGAATAAACATCTTCAAATATTTCACAGTGTTTGGTTTTTTTCATCACCACTCCCTATACCCAGGGTACCCAGATGGAACTCATCCTTGCTCTCAAGTGCCCCTGCCCAAGCAGCACCTCATTGCACCCTGTCTTGGCCACCCTGGGCCCTCTTCCCTTGGCCCAGTCTTGCCCATCTCCAACGTGGCATTGTCCCTCGAGCCCCATCTTCAACATGGCACTGTCCCTAGAACCCTATCTCCAACGTGGCACTGTTTCTCCAGCCCCGTCTCCAACGTGGCACTGTCCCTGGAGGCCCGTCTTTAACCTGGCACTGTCCCTAGTACCCCGTCTCCAACGTGGCACTATCACTGGAACCCTGTCTCCAACGTGTACTGTTCCTCGAGCCGCATCTCCAACGTGGCACTGTCCCTAGAATCCCGTCTTTAACGTGGCACTGTCCCTGGATGCCCGTCTCCAACGTGGCACTGTCCCTGGAATCCCGTCTCCAACGTGGCACTGTCCCTGGAATCCCATCTCCAACGTGGCATTGTCCCTAGAACCCCATCTCCAACATGGCACTGTCCCTCCAGCCCCGTCTCCAACATGGCACTGTACCTCCAAGCTTACTCCAACTTGGTACCGTCCCTTAGGCCCCGACCTCAAAGCAGCGCAGTGGAACCAGGTCAGAAGCTGGGTCTCCCAACACTGAGCTTGCGGAGGCCATGGTGACAGCTGCCCCAGAAGCTCACCTTTCTCCTGTGCCCTGGTCCTGCGTGGCATGGGGGACTGAATCAGGCTCGAGTTAGGCCTGTTGGAGGGGAGGGCCAGATCACTCCCCAGATGCTCTGGAGCACACAGCCCTGTGGGAGGCAGGGCCGCTGTAAGTAGGGAAGGGATATTGGGAACAAATTTCAGACACGTCCCAGTCGCAAAGGAAATGGAGCTAGGGAATGTGCTCAACAGTGACCTCGGCAGGAAGGCCCCTCCAAGGAGGCGACAGGAAGGTCTAGACCCGAATGAAGGATGCTTCCCGGGCTCCCCCTCGGGGTGCGTTTTCTCCTCCCAGCTCCCTGTGAGGTAGCCAGGCCCCACCCCGCTTTACTGAGGCCGTGGGGTTCTGTGGCTCTCAGCGGGCGGGATTGGAATTCCCACCTTTTCTGTAACCAAATCTATTAGGACCCTGGCCCCTGCAGAACCTCCCCAAGCCCGGGCAGCTTGACCGCCACAAACAGTGGCTGTGCCGGGGCCCTGCCTCCCATTACAGCCTCTCACCTGAGGGAGTTCTAATCCTGAGCAGGCAGCCAGCCTTGCCCTCTGGCAGAGTGCAGGGGAAGGGGCCCTTCTTCGTCTTTCCCACTCTCAGGCTGACAGCACACCACAGGGACATGGGCTCTGTCTGTGGGGTGCGCAGCCCCCCAGAGAGAGGAGGTGGAGGTGGGGGCCAGCCCTGGCTCCAGCCTGCCTCTGTTAGCCCCGCCCAGCCTCGGTTAGCCCCGCCCAGCCTCGGTTAGCCCCGCCCAGCCTCGGTTAGCCCCGCCCAGCCTCTGTTAGCCCCGCCCAGCCTCGGTTAGCCCCGCCCTTTGAGCCTCCCACCAGGGAGGGGGCCCCAAGCTTCCCTCTGGGGAACCAGCCACAGGTCGGGGGGTCGTGACCGCTCCGGCTCCCTCCTGGCTGTTTGGAGAAACGGAATCAGAGGATGGCACAGTGCCCGAGAGAGAAGGGGCAGAGAAGGAGCTGGACTTGCTGGGTACCCGCTGCGTTCTGACACCTCCTAGCAGGGGCAGGCAAGGGCTGGAGGTTGCATCTCCACGGGGAGAGCTGAGTCCCTCACTGAGAAGGGTCTGCTGGGCGGCTCAGTCCCTCAGGGGCCCTGAGCATTTTCACATTCATTCCACATGTGAGTCTTGGGCACCTACCACGAGCAAACAGAGAAATTCCCGCCCTCCTGTGTTCAAAGCTAGGCACGGGAGGAGTGGGTAGGTGTGTGGAGGGGCAGACGTCAGAATGAAGTGGGTGGCACACACAGGGCTTGGGGGGTGGCTCGTGCCAAGGAGGAGCCTGCTGCAGGGCACAGGGAGTGACAGAGGACATTGCTGTGAGAAGAGAAGCCTCTTCTCATCAGATGTGGTTTTTTTTGAGATGGAGTTTCATTCTGTTGCCCAGGCTAGAGTGCAGTGGCGCCGTCTGCACTCACTGCCACCTCTGCCTCCCAGGTTCAAGCGATTCTCCAGCCTCAGCATCCCAAGTAGCTGGGCGCCTGCCATCACACCTGGTTAATTTTTGTATTTTTAGTAGAGATGGGATTTTGCCATGTTGGCCAGGCTGGTCTTGAACTCTTGACCTCAGGTGATCCACCTGCCTTGGCCTCCCAAAGTGCTGGGATTACAGGCGTGAGCTACTGTGCCCGGCCTTCTAATCAGACTTGAAGGAGGTGAACCACCAAAGGACCAGCCAGGAGCCACTGACGCCGGACAGAGCAGAGGTCACAAAGCAGAGGGAGCCGGCCTGGCGGGGGGAGGAGAGAAAGCCAAGAGGTCAGAGAGAGACAGTAAGAGGGGGCGAGACTCCGGATGCACTTTTGAGGCAGGGCCAGAGGATTTCCAGGTGGATTTAGTGTGGCTCACGCCTGTCATCCCAGCACTTTGGGAGGCCAAGGAGGGTGGATCACGTGGTCAATAGATCGAGACCATCCTGGTCAACATGGTGAAACCCCGTCTCTACTAAAAATACAAAAAATTAGCTGGGCACGGTGGCCCGTGCCTATAATCCCAGCTACTTGGGAGGCTGAGGCAGGGGAATTACCTGAACCCAGGAGGCGGAGGTTGCGGTGAGCCGAGATCGCGCCATTGCACTCCAGCCTGGGTAACAAGAGCGAAACTCCGTCTCAAAAAAAAAAAAAAAAAAAGAAAGTGTCTGCAAAATTACGACTGCGGCAGTGAAAGCTCTGCCTTAACCAACTCCATCTTCCTCCCCATCTCGACCTGTCCTTGTTCCTTCCTGGGCATAGGCTCAACTAACTTTGAGAGGAGCTTAGTGTACAGTTTAAACAAAGATGGTAACAGCCCTTTCCCAAAGGAGATCTCCTTCTTGCCTGGGGTCTAGATGGCCTTTGTAGGACTAACATTAGGCTGTGGGATTCTGACCCTCCCTAAACTGCGCCTAAGATCAGTGATTAAGATATTTTGCGGACCCTGCAC